AGAATAAATTCAATCCAAGAAAGAAATACATACATTAAGCTTCACTGTATGCCAGGGCACATGACTTCCGTGGGTGTGGATATAAAGATAAAGAAAATTTTTGGCCTGGAGGAGACCAAAACAGCCCAGAGGCTGTTGCTTTCAGAAGATGGACAAAGATTGTGGAATTTGAAAGCTGAGGTCCTTTGACGGACCTTTTTTTTGACGGCTGTTTTTCTTTACTTGCTCTGTGATCTTTGAACAATCACTTGACTCCTCCTGGCTCCTATTTTCTTATCTAGAAAACGGAGTTACAGAAAATTAACTTATAGGAGGGAAGAGAGAATTGAATGAGATAGTGTGTGAAAAATGCATTCGGATCTTGTGAGAGGCTGCAGAAAAATTTAGCTATGATTCGTCTGTAGGCAGGCAGAACTCGTGGTTCCTAGCAACCACTCTGCTAACTTCACCTCTCCCCATCCGGTCAGAGATGAAGTCTCTCTTAGAGCTCTGATCCTACCTTCCAACAGAATATATTTCAAGAAAGAATTACGTAATTATAATAGATGTGAGGAGATACCAAAATAAATACATAAATAAATAAAGTCTTTAAAAACAAAGGATCCCACCCAACTGGGATTATTGGTGCAGGCTTCTCAAATAGAGCTCAAATGGCACTATCAGATGCTTCATACTGCTATAAATGCCTAAAAACCACTTTTTCCCTAGAATTTCCATTTACAACCCTGACATCCTGTGTGTATGTCAAAAAGATTGGTCCTTGAGTGAGGTGCTAGGATGAAATCTATCAGCCCCAGAACTGGCTTTGCATTTGCATTCTTCATTTACAATAGAGTGAAGGGCATCTTTGCTCAAAGCCCATACTTTCCCACAAATATAATTATTTTTTCCTGTTGTTTACAGCAAGAGTATCTTTTTTTTTTTTTGCAGATTTTTGCCAGGGCTGGGTTTGAACCTGCTACCTCCAGCATATGGGTCTGGCATCCCACTCCTTAGAACCACAGGTGCCGCCCTTACAGTGAGAATATCTTGAAGAAGCAGATGATTTCTATGAAAACAAATTAAACTTTCTGTAGTGAGGAGAAGGTGAAGAAGATCCTGGCTAGTAGAATATAATTTCTTTAACCTGAACAGGTTAATGTCAATGTTATTGTTGTGAGGAAAGGGCCAGGTCTGTGGCCCAGTTCACATAAAGGAAATATGTGAACAGAAATACCTAGAATGCTTCTTTCGGGAGAAACCTACTGAAGGATTATGTCTGATTAGAAATTAGACATGTGGGCCTACACTTAAAAAGGAAAAAAAGAAAAAAAAAGCAGACTAAGTGAGATCAATAAAGTTCCTCTCCTAAACAAAATTTTTATGTATTTCAGAACTTTTCTCAGTGTCTGATGTGATAGCCTCGTGATTCCAACCTCTAGAGCTCTTTCTTCTCATGAGAGACTCACTTAATAGACGGAATAGATCAGTATCAGGGACCCTGGCATGTCAGGAAATCACCAGCAATAAAAAAAAAAAAAAGAAAGAAAACAAAAACACATCCCCTAGTTCAGGCCATCCTGTAACACCCTGACTGTGCCATTAGCATTGATCTATCCATATTTTTCTCTCCTCTACACTTTGAGTCAAAGATTTTCAAGTATAGAACTGTATACTCTTAATTTTTATATTTACGCTCCTATCATGGTGCTTAGAAAATCACTGATGCACAATAAATGCTCATTGAATAATACTAAGACTTTAACACTGAGAAACTTGCCTGAGCCGTGGATGAGAGAAGAGAGCCAAGCTCAGAGCAGCAGCTGCAGCCGGCCGCCCCCGGGCCAGCTACAGGAGACGACAAATGGTTGGTTTGGCAGGAGCCGAGGGTTAAGGCTAGAAACAAAACAAGGCAGTGTCACAAAGACACATACAGTCTGTATCTGTTTTAAATTCTTTTTTTCCAAGAAAAACACAGAGGAACAGAATAAAAACAACTTCAAAGAGTCAAGCATTTAACAATATTTAGTAAGCATTCACTGAGTGCCATGTACCCTGCTACATTCCAGGGATGCAGAAACAAAATGAAAAGGCATGCCTGCCCTTCCAGAGCTAATGGTCACACAGATACATTAAGGCACTATGGAGGAACTCTGGAAGGGCTGTGGAGAAGTATCATAGGAAGGTGCGTGTAATATATGGTGTGGTGTGTGTGTGTGTGTTACACAGGTGGCATCAGCGTGGAGTTGTGGGAGGATGGGGAAGTCCTTCTAAGAAAATGATATATAAACAGAATCCTGGAAGGATAACTAAGTATTAAGAAAAGAAGATTCTGGGCAGATAAAACCTGTATATTATGGTCTGAATGTGTATGTACCCCCAAATTCATATGTTGAAATCCTGCCCCTCAAGGTGATGATATTAGGAGATGGGGCCTTTGGGAGGTGATTAGGTTTTAAGGGGGGAAGCCCTCCTGAATGAGACTAGTTCTCTTATTATAGAGGCCCATGAGAGATACCCTTATCCCTCCCTCCACGTGAGGACACAATGGGAAAGCATTATTTATGAACAAGGAAGTGACCTTCTCTGGACACTGAATCTACCAATGTCTTGCTCTAGGACTTCCTGTCCTCCAGAACTATGAGGAATAAATTTATGTTGTTTATAAAATCTATGCAGTCTCTGACATTTCATTACAGAAACCCAAATGGATTAAGACAATATTTGAAACCTCTGAAATGGAAACAAACAAACAAACAAACAAACAAACAAAAACTTGTCATTTCAGAGGAAATTTTAACTAAGTCATTAGGACAGTAACTGTTAATGCCTATTAGTTCCAAAACAGGTCACCATTTTTTCTAAGGCTGAATGTTTGCAGAATCTGCCTACCCTGAGATTCTAGAAAACCAGAAGCTCCAGGGTAGCCCTCCATCTCTTGGCTGCTTACTAAGTTTTTCTGTTAACGGGTGACACTTGTCCCGTAGAAGGAGTCACTTGATTAGCACCTCCATAGTCTGAGGACGAATTTTTAAGTCGATCAAAATAATATCTTTTACTAAATAAGATTTCAGATGTGGGAGAGATTTTGTAACCACATTGCTTTTTCTTAAACAGTAATGACTTACACAGAAGGTTTATACAAATTAATCTTTTATAGTTGGGACTCTTCAATGTCAAGAGTGCTGGTATGGTAGAATACCAGAAGCCAGAGTTGCATTTCTTGGCATCCTTTTTTGGCCTCCCAATTATTTGGTATCACACAGTTATTAAAACATCTTACTCCTTCATAGTATCTGAAAAATATCATTTTCTTCTCTGAATGAATTTCCTAGTAGATTTCCTCCTTGTTCTTCCTGATACACACATTATCTCAACAAGATTATTTTAATCCTCTCATTTTTTCTTTCTTTCTTTTTTTCTGTTTAACAGGCCCTGGCCTGGTTAGAACCCGCCACCCCCAGTGCACAGGGCGGGCACTCTAACCATTGACCTACAGGCGCCCAGCCCCTGCCATTCTGTCTAAAGTCCTGAGAATCATTAAGAAATATGAATGATAGAAAGAGTAAATGTGGATTCTCTAATAACTTTAATTTTCTATGTAATGTGTATAATTTTGATGTTCTATATAATTTTGTATATGTTTGGTCTTCAAGAACTTCTGCCCTCTTATTTTGATATATTGCCTGTGATATATGTACTGTTTATTCACTAGTGTTTCAGCTGAAGGAGAAATTTTATGACCAACTAACGAACTCCAAAACAGTATTTATAACATAAGTGCTGTTGTACCATTATTTATACTTCAGTTCAGTAGCAAAAATTGGTTCCATGATAAATAAACTCATGTTATCCAATCATTAGTCTACTGCAGCCAGAATGACAAGTCAGGCCACAGGCAATGCAATAGCACTAATGAAATGAATTAATTTATCTTTTTCAAAGGGACGTTGGGGAATTGAAAATGTGTGTTTTATAGCAACACTCCAAATAGAAAATATATCTAATCATTCAACATTTGGGACATATATTTTTAAACCATCAAGTTTATTTTATTCAGCGAATATTTACTGAATGCTTCCTATGTTCCAGGTACTTTTCCAATGGTGTAAGTAAATTCTACTGTAGAAAGACAGAAGATAAGAAAGTAAATAATAATAATAATAGGCAATGTTATTGTAGATTCTGATCATTTCTATGAAGGAAGAGAAAGAAAAAAATAACCAAAAAGCAAAACAAACAAACAAAAACTCGGGTTAATAACAGTCTCCAAAAATCTGTATAGGTGACCAGGAAACAATACGTTGCTTCACAAGTCTTTTTCTACTATAAAAGTCATGGTGCTAAATTAATTTGGATCCCATGAAATTGTTTATAATCAGTATTTTTCACTCATTAAAAAATGGCAATTCTATATGGTTCAACCTAATAGTTGACAACCCTGAGAACCAAGAGCAGTGAGAATTTGAAGAGTTAGAATTTTTCTTTTACATTTTTAGTTCTAGATTATAGTTGTTCTGAGTTTGAATACCTAAGACCTTGCATTTTTCTTCAGACCCTGTATCTGGAAATGAGATGAGAATCCTATCATTCCACAGGTTAGGTAGATGACTTAGCAGTATTTTAGGTTTATAAGTGTGTGATGATGAAGCTTTTTCAGGATGGATGAAAGTCCTCACTGGAGCTTCTACACCCAGCTTGGTGCCAGGATGCCCACTAGGGTTCATGTGTACCAGTGGGAATATTGATGTTCTGGAGCCAGTGTTCCCTCCAAACCCAGCCCTGCTAGCAATATAGTCTGTCTATGTTCTTTAACCTCTTCTACCCTCAGATTTATTTAATCTTTTAAGTGAGAGTAATGGCCCTAACTTGTAGGGTTGTTATAATCATCACAGATGATTTAGAGTAATACAAAATGCACATTCAACTAGTGATAAAGCAAATGAAAAATTACACACATGGGCCTCAGGAGTGTGTGATAAAGAAAGAGAAATAGCACTTTTCAAAGATATAGAAGGTTCACCTTTGCATAGTGGCAGTATTGTAGCCAATGAGGTTCACTGGAGGTGACATTGCTGCTAATTTAGAACTTTTCCCATCATCTCTCCATGAAGACCTGAAGTATAGTCAGCATTGGCAATTTTTGACAGTCTCTACAGAGACTGAATTAATCAGAAAGAAAAGGAAAGGAAAAAAAAAGTCCAGAAATATACAGGAGAGTCTGCCTATTTCTATATTCAGAGGATACAGGTACCAGTTTGAGAGCTGTGAGTCCAGGCTTCCTTCTGTTGGCCTCTGGTCCAATGTATCTCTTGCAGTGCAAGTATCTTGCCACCTTATGTTATTTTAATATTGTCCTAAGATAAGTATTTCTCTGAAGTACATGCTGATTACTTAAATTGTGAATTAAACTAAGCAATGACAAGGGAAAATTCTGGCTTCAGATTTATTGAGATGGAATTGCAGTCTCCATGGTGATGCTGTTGTGAGAGATTCCTGAGGATAATCTTGGTATTAAGGAGTCTGCCTCCACAAGGTACCTTTAGAAGCCAAGCCGGAAGAATATATAGCTCTAATTTAAAGTATGTAAAATAAGGGGGTGGAGGTAAGATGGTGGACTGCAGCCAGCTTTCCAGAGAGGCTCTTGTCCAGAAGGAGAGTTAAAAGACAGAAGTTTAGTAAGTAAGCCAATAATTTGGAGCTGAGCCAAGAGAGAAGGTTGAAGAATGCATATCAACCCTGCTGAGGCAAGCTACAACCCCAAAGATACAAACAAAAGGTACTGAATCCATCGCCAAGTGGATAGGAGTCCTCTCCCCCATGAGAAATGCTCACAGTAAACTCCATACAACTAAGCGACCAGAGTTCAAATATCTTCCCATTCCATCCCATGGAAGAGACCCTCTAAAAACTAGACCTCCTACCCATACTAAGGTGTCACGGCACTCTCCTGCCAGGCATAAAACTGTTTAAAACTGTATATATTCTCTATCTGCAAATCTGAACTCCCAGCGCTCCCCTCCACTCACTCCCCAAGGTCTAGAAGCCTGTTCCCCATGGAGTCCAGATTCTTAGGCATTTTCTCAAGAGGTGTAGACAGGGGAAAGGCCTTTGCTTAGCTGTGCTGATTCTGTGGCATGGGGGTAAAGAGAGGATGGTCAGCTGAGAGGGAACCATACAGGAGTGGTAGCAGTGCCCCCAGGCACAGAATAGTAGCAGCAGCAGGAACAATTAGGCTCATTGCCCCTGGGGCTATCCCAGACAGACACAACCTGTCTCTCTGGGCAACCAGAGGAAGCCAGGCACCGTCTCCAGTGGAAGCCACCGGTGGAACAGATCTTCCCATGAGTAAAGGGAAGGTAGCTTGAGGTGGTAACAGCTTGGTGAGAGCTCAGGACTAGGGCCAGCAGACTTCCAGGGAGGAACCGAGCAAGAGGTCTACTTTACTGAGACTGAGGTGCACCTGGCCCCCAGGGGATCATAGCTGAGACAAAGGCAAGCAGGCAGAGGCAGGAACTGAAAGCTCAGTGTGAGCTCCAACTGCTTGCCACTGCCTAGAACTGAGTCATGGTTTCTGTCACCTTAAGCAACGTCTGATAACCAGGACAGAAACAAACTCTGCAAAGTTGTGTTGTTCTGCCAGCAACATCAATCAGGGGTGAGGCTGAAACTGAATGAAATGCCCTGC